TTGCTTTCTGTATTTCTGGGGCAGACTGGAAAAAAACTGATCATTTCAAATTAAATATCAACAGTTGAAAAGTTATCCTTTCACTTTTAGTAGCAAAAAGTATATGAGCTACCTGAAAACTCATGTGACACTTTATAATAAAATAAGTATACATATTAAAGTGATCTCCACTGCCTTTTCAAGAGCACTAAGAGAGGTTTAAAGAAACAAAATAGTCACTCAAAATAAAATGAGAACACACACATTTTAAATAGCCTGAATATTAAAATGTGCTACTTAAGCAAGATTTATATTAAGAGAGCTGCATTTAGACAAGTGAAAAAAGCTTTAAAATGCTAAGATTTTTCTGATTTAAATGCAGAAAGCTTACAAGCAAAAAGCAGCAAGTATTATAAATAGTTACAAAATGGTGGCATGACATTTAGCTTTTGTAAAGGCAGTGCATTACCCCAGAGATAAAATTAATACATCAGTGCTCAGTATTCGATATCCATGCTAATAGGCAGGGCACATACAACCTTAAAGCAAAGCCTCACTGCTTTTCTCTGCCTAACAGTTGTGACTTTTGTCTCTGCTAGAGACCTTTAAGCAGATGGATTAGTGTTTAATATGAAAAGAATAATTAGGATAGAGCTAAAATATTTGGTCTGAAGGAAGACTTGCCAGCAGAGGAAACATGCAGAAATAGGAGATTAAGTTGACACCGCTAATATATGTCCACAGCAATTCTATTGTTTCTTATCCAATTTTTGATTTTCCTTGGTCAGAAGCAGCATAGTGAGCAAGGCTAATCAGAAGAGTGAAAAAAACAAAGATTCTGTACACATTTTAGGGTGCCTAGTAACTTAACCTCATTGCAGTAAAAAAGGTGGGAGAAACCTTGAAAGGGGAGGCCACTTACTAGGCAACCGTGCCTGGGCCTGAGAGGTCAGTACCAGCCTCTGAGGCAGCACACTTTGTTGGATGGTGTGCGAGGGGGCCTGTGGCTGGGTCTGGCCTAGCTGTGAGGCATGTGCAGTGGTCTGACCCTGCTGTTTCACAGAATTGGCTGTGCTAGTTGCTGTGGTGTTGGCTGGTGTCTTGGAGCACTGGTAGAAGCCTGAGTTGTCTGAAACTGTGCTGCTGCAGCTGCAATTAATAAGGTTTGTTTGTGCAAGCTGTTAGAGATTTTAACTCCATTGTTTTAAACAACCTGCATTAAAAAGAAACCTTCCAACAGGATATTAAAATGGCTAAAGGAATGGCTTTTCCTTATAGCCTGGGATTTCTACTGGCACCTATCACTCCATCCTATTTTTACAACATTATATAATTGGTAAGCATTTTTTAAAAAGACTAAGTATATCTGCAAATACACTGTAAGTCCCTAACATCAACAGAACATTATGTACACTTGGGGTTAGGCTACACTGGATTAGTAATCTAGACCACCAAGCTGGAAGAAACATGAGTTCTAATAACAGACTAACAAACCTCTGAATATACTGATGCATAACTACCTATGATAGCAATATCTTTCTTACCTTGATTTGCAGATACTGTAGCAATGGGTGATCGCCCTCGCACTTGTCCCTGCTGAGTTACTGTTGCTGTGGTCACTGTCCGTTGTACTTGAGTACTCGGAAAAACAACAGTCCTGCCCTCAGGCTTTTGCCCATACTGAACTGGTTGAAACAACCTGCAAAGTATATTCAAAATAAAAGCTTAAGAAAAAATTAACTGAGCCTTTAAAAATCCACTCAGCTTTCCTAGGTGACTTAAAAACTTAGACCACCAATTCCTGCTAAACTGAAGCTTTCCTTAAAGTTTCAACTGATGTGATATTGATTTCTTGAATCTGTAGACCAACAGCTCCATTGCCTCTGCTGCTGCTCAAAGCTTCTCTGAGAGGAGCAATAGCATGACACTGAATAAGAGTCAGGTTGGCTTCACTGACTACTACTTTAAAAATCTTGTGAAACAACAGAAGTTGCTGACACTTATTTGGGAAAGCTATATCGGTAACACATAGATGTGGAGTTATATGAGGAGAGGAAAAGCTACAGGGAGGGGAGGAACAGAGATATTCTGCCTCTCTACACAGCTAAGGAGAAGGAAGGAGGACAAGGGAGAAAGTTCCTTCTATTTTGCTAATTCTACATCTATAAAGGGAGCACCTGAACAGGACTCAACACTGGTAGAAATTCTAGCATCCCACATCGGCCTTCATTGATGAGTTTCTTATCTAATCACATTTGACACCAGACTCTGTCTGCCAGATATCTGATAAAGTTTGCAAGTTTTGTTATTAAATACTAGAAAATCAACAGGTATGCAGAACTTATGCAAAATCTGGACACTAAGCTCTACAGGGAGGAACTGACACCTTTATTTCAACAGCAGCTCCTAGTGAAAGATTCCACCCACATATTTGTATAGTGCACATGCAGAACAATTAACACTACTATGATTGACCTGCAAAGATTGGGGCAAAAAACAGGAGAAAGGAGAAGGTAATTAAGACCGTCAAGCCAGAACATCTATAACCTGCTGATTCTTCAGTACACTGGTTCCTTATATGAAAAATACTTTTAAAGTATACTGACATATGTTCCTACATTACTGCAGACACAGCTAAATGCCTGAAGAACAACCCACAAAATATTTGCTAATTCTGCAAGCTCCAGTATTCTAGGACAGTGATTCTCAACCTTTTCTTTTATAAAGTACCCCTTTTAAAAACAAAAATAAAATTATAAGTACCCCCAAGACCTACAGTTTTCAGACACACACTTTTTTTTTTTATCACTGCAACACATTTTGTTTAAACAGCTTAATCATAGCTGAGTGGGCGATGAAATTTTTGGGTGTCAAAAGTACAAAAATAATGAAGCGCTATAAAACTTAAAACAAAAATTCAGTTTTCTCCAAATTTCAGTTATGTTTCAGGTACAGATTTCAGGTACTTGACATCTCTCAAGTATCCCTAAGGGTACTCGAACCACTGGTTGAGAAACACTGCTCTTGGATGCTCTAGGAGAAACACTGCTTTACTAAAACCAAAGGCTATCTTACTTTTATATTAGAGTGAACTATAATATCAAACTAGCTAGAGTAAATATTCAGCAAGTTCAAAGACTGTCTCAAAGTGGATCTCCGGGCTGGCTACAGTGTACTATAAAGAAGGCAATGGGAGCATGCTAAAATGTCGCACTCTAATTGCCTCACATAGATGCTGCTGGTTCAAAGTAAAAGGTACCTATCTGACATTAACATACATTAAATGCAAACTAGGTACCTGTTAGTTGCGCCAGCAGCACTCACACCAGATAGTTAGGGCACAACAATTTGGTGCACTTTGCAGTTTACACCTCCACAGTCCGCACTGTGAAACAGCCTATGTCTTGCATTTCACAAAGCAGCTCCATACCTGCCTGGCATGAAAGCATATCAGGTCTACTAAACTATAATTATCTTATAACAGCCTAAATATGCTTTAGTAAACCAAAGTCCTAGTTCTGAGGGCAAACAAGCTGGAAGGTACTATACAATACCATCAAAATAAACAACGGAGTATAATGTGGTATGACAAATGTAATACATTACGAGAAGGGGGCTTAAGAGCTAATATTCAGTTTCACTGTTAACATTTTTAAAATACAGCTGGTCCCCGAGTTGCAAACGGTCAACTTACAACCATTCGCAGTTAAGACCAAAACTGTCGTAAATGGCAGACCCTGAGTTACGAACGCAATCTGCGCTTATGAACAGCACGGTCGTGTGTAACTCAATGGGGTCTGACTTATGAACAAAATGAATTAAAACCAATTACTTGGTCCGTAACCGGTTCGTAAGTGGGGAAGAGGCTGTACAATGAATTATAAATTAGATGCAAGTAATGATGGATTACTTCTGAAAAGTTTAAGATGAAATGAATTCCTTTTTTAAAATTCTAGCTCAAGCAAGAACATTTTCATATGAAGTTAAGTGTACCTGCTTGGTTTGAGCTTTACTGGGTTGGGTCTGGCTGGATGATGAGGGGAGTTGTAGATCTCTTCGATAAGCTTTCTGGTCACCTTTTGTTTTGGCAGTACTTGTGCTTCATAGTGAGTCATTTTATTTTCCATCCCAATCAGATCAAAAAGACACATGTCTGTATCCTAAGGTTATTGTGAAAAAATAAGGTTTACAAGTCAGCACATAAAAACAATAATAAAAAAATCTTCTGACTTATTGACTGCTTAAAGTGAAACTAACATTAGTTGATTGCCTTATTTACAGCATATATTTCAAAGGAAAAAAATAAGGGATTTTTTTAGGTAATAAAAATAAACTAAAAATACTGAAACTCCAGATTTTTTGGTCATAACTACAGTTGACAATCCCACTGTTAGTGTAAAATTGGCTTGAAGAAGCCAATTGATTGATAGGGTTTGGGAAATCAGGACTTTGCTTTATCTAAGTTGCAGTTTTCCTGGTATTTCAAATATCAGTTGAGCTAGACAGCAACAAATGCAGTTCATAAATATCAGCACGTAAACATGAAACCGCTGAAAAATTCAGCGGTTACATGTTTACAAAAATAAATTTTTGCTAACATCCCTAGAAGATACACAGTTACATGCTGCAGACTCCAATATAAAGCAATAGCTGGCTCCCAAGAGCAGGGCCGGCAGCTGGAGCAGATATGCACCAAGAACGGGGCTTATGCACGCTAGCTCCCAGTTACTGGCCCCATTCCCAAGAAGCCAGTTGCCACCTCATGCTGCAGATTTTGATAGGGAGTCCGCAGCATGGGGTGGCAGTGGGCTCCCTGGGAGTGGAGCTGGGTTGTTACTGTAACAGAAACCAATAAGCTGATTTTGGAGGTTAATCGTTTAAACAATTACACTCTTAAATCCCTAGTTCTCCCAATTTTCTTCTAATTTCAGAGTGTTTTTGGGCACAGGACAGTTCCGGAAGACAAAAAACATAACAGTAATGCAGAATTAAGCCTATTTTTCTTCAGATAGCTGAAACATAAATGCCAGCTACTCAACCATTTCTTACAATGTAAACTGCAGGGAGAAAGAGAAATGTAGTGAACGTGTAATAAATTAAGTGGACTGCTGTCGTGGTAATCCTGTTAGATGCTATCTAGCCAAGAATAAAAGAGGAAAGACTATTTTGGGGTCAATTTTCTAGCTCTCTCCTCATGTGGGGTGAGCAGAGTGGGTCCTAAAGAGGACTGCTCAGTCACAGGTGCAGCTGCCAAGATGCCTGATCTGCCTTGGTCCTCAAGCAAGACGACTGCATCACACACCCGTCGCCTGTGTGTCAGTCTGTGACTGGGAACTTCTGGATCTCACTGTCCTGTTCCCGTTGCCACTCGAAGATTACCACTGACTTTTTGACTTGTACAGGTATCGTTTTCCCAAAAGCTGAAAGATACCGTTGCGGGACTTCTTTTAAAGTGAAGAGACTGGCACACAATAGTCACCACACTATCCTAGACAGATAGTGGCTTGAAACCAAATGGCATGGACACATGATGATTAGAGATCATCTATCTACCTTCACAGCTGCTGTAACAATACACAAAAGTTTCACCTCCATTGTGCAGTTATCCTCAGTCTGCTCTGCCATTGAGGACTTCTTGGATCACACTTTGTCTGAAACCTCGCCCTTGACTGTTTTGCCAAGGGTGATCCTAAGGGAGTACATGACTACAGGCAGCATTACTCTTGGGATGTCACTGGAACACGCAAGGTTCTCCACTAAAGTGATGATCCATGGAGAGGAAAATGTAAGAAAACTTCTCAACTTTGGAACCTGGAATATAACGTACCCTGATGGATAACTCAAAGAGTGATCAACCAGAGCAATATACAGCTATCATTGCTTGCAAATTGAATCAGTTTAGCATCATATTGCTGCCTTGTCCAAAACTAGAAGAGCTGATGAAGGACAGGTGAGGAAAGAGAAAGGAGACACCAACTTTCTGGAAGGTAAAATCTTTAGATGAACTTTGATTGTATGGAGTAGGATTTGCTATAAAGAACAAGCTTCTAAATAAGATAAGATCATTCTTCTGTTGGACGATACTCAGACCTGTGGAAAGGAACAATCAGGAAAGAAGGAGTTGGCAAAAGCAATTCAAATGGAATGATGCTCCCAACCAAGTGTGCTGAACATGAACATATCATCACGAACACTTTTTCAACAAAAGGACAACTTCAAAAAATCTTGGAGACACCCACATTCAAAGCACTGGCATCTTCTCAGCTACCTCATAGTTTGCGCTTGAGATTACAATGATGTACTTCTTACAAGAACAATGACAATTGCTGATGACTGTGCCTCATTCAGTTGCTGATGATCATTGCCTCATTCAATCCACAATGAAAATTAGGATCACACCCAAATGGAAGCTACAAAAGAAGCAGGCACAAGCTGACGGTTCAAGTTCTGAAGGACCCCATTAAGCATGATCACTTCCAAGCAGTCTTAGAAGAAAATCTTCCATCAGAGTTTCTGGAAGAAATTGGAACATTGGAGCTAGCTGAAAGAAGCAATCATCAATACCTGTGAGGAAACCATAAGCTATCACACCAGAAAATATCAGAACTGGTTTGAAGAGAATGATGTTGAAATCGAGCAACTCAGCAATGACAAGAGAATGGCATTTTGTGCTTCGAAGAATGATATAAATTGCAATACAAAGAGAGAAGGCCGTGCTAACGCAAAAACAGAAGTCCAATGTAAAACCAGAGAACTCAAGAACAAATGGCGGACTGAGAAAGCACAAGAACTCCAACATTTTGTGGACACCCATAATACAAGTGATTTCTTTAAGAGCCATTAAGGTTTTTTATGGGCCAACTTGTCATGGCATGAACTCCCTTCACTTTAAGGATAGAGCCACACTTCTGAAGGACAACAAAGCCATTAATTTTCACTGAAAAGAACATTATGAAGATTTTCTTAATCATAACTCCATGGTTGTGGGTGAAGTTCTTGAGCAAATCCCCCAATGACCTTCTAGGGATGAACTTCAAGACTCTCTCAATTTGCATGAGGCATATAATGACCTCAAGCAAATGAAGAACCACAAGGTAGCAGGTCCAGATGGGATCCCTGCTAAAATCTTTAAAGACGGCAGACCAGAGTTAATTCGGCAGCTTAGCCAGTGAAACGAGGAATGCCTTGATTGCAACCCTCTTTTAGAAATTGATAAAGCTAACTGTGGAAACTATCATGGAATCTCCCTCATTGTTGCAGGCAAAAGTCCTGGAACGGGTCCTTGCAAACTGTCTTCTGCCTCTGTCAGAAGAAATTTTACTGGAGTCACACAGTGGCTTCCGACCATGTCACGGATCTGCAGATATGATCTTCATTGCACAGCACCAGCAAGAAAAGTGTCGGGAGCAAAATCAACTACTGAATATGGCTTTTATTGATCTAACTAAAGCCTTTGACTCAGTGAATAACCATGTTCTTTGAACTGTACTTCTGCTCTATTTATCAGGATATCCAATCTTCAATGTCCTAAAGTTGCTTCAAGACAACATGAAAGCCACTGTTCTGAGCAGCACTGGCTTCCAGAGTAAACCTTATAAAGTACAAACTGGAGTCAAACAGGGCTGTATCATCACCCCAACAACATTCGCAATCTTTATTTCCATGATTTTCTACCTAATTGATGGGAAATTCCCAGCTGGCATTGAAATCATCTACAGAATAGATGGAAGGCTGTTTAGGATGAGCAAGCTGAAAGCTAAGAGTAAGATTTCCACCACCTCTGTAGTACAACTTCAGTATGCTGATGACAATGCAGTTTTTGCCCACTCTAAGAAAGATCTTCATATTATCCTCACTGTGTTTGCTGATGCTTACACAAGTCTTGGTATCTCACTCAACATCAAGACCAAAGTGCTCCATCAGCCCTCTCCAAACGAGATACCATATGCCCCTCTATTAAAATCAATGGTAAGGCACTAAAGAATGTTGATCATTTTCTCTACGTTGGAAGTTATCTTTCATCCAAGGCAGATACTTATATAAAAATCCATCATCTGAGTTATGCCAGTGCAGCCTTTGCTCATTTACAGCACAGGGTTTTTGAAGATCATGACATCTGAACAGACACCAAACTTCTTGTCTATCACGCCATTATTTTCCCAATAATATTTTATGAGTCTGAAACCTGGACAATCTACAGACATCACTTGAAAGAGGTATCACCAACACTGCCTCTGCAAGATCTTGAAGATCAAATGGGAAGATAGGAGCACTAACATCAATGTTCTGGAAGAGGAAAAGACCACCAGTATCAAGACAATGATCATCCATCAGCAACTTCACTGGACTGGTCACGATGTTCGGATGCCTGACCATCGCCTCCTAAAACAGGTCCTGTTTTCTCAACTGAAAAGGATACTGTAATGTGGGAGGACAATGGAAGTATTATAAGAACTTGCTAAAGAAATATCTTAAAGTGCAATATTGATGTTGACACTTGGAGACACTTGCTCAGGATCACTCAAAATGGAGAGAAGTCCTAAGCAATGTCTCCCTGAAATTTGACATTGCCCACTTACAAGCTAAGGGGAGACTGGCTTTTAGTCATAGTCAACAGCCTCCTGCTGCACCTGGAAACATCCATCCTCACTATAACAGAACTTGTGGTCCAAGGATTGGCCTTATCAGCCTACTGAGGGTCCACAACTCCCATGGAAGATGATCATATTCAGCAACAAGTGATCACCATCAGTTGAGTGGAGGACTCAGAACAGCAAATTCCACTTATAAGCTACAGTTGGGCTTGAAGCACAGACCTATGAATGAGAGACTGATGCCGTGTCCTCTAAATACCAACATTCTGCAAGGACAATTTTTAAATAGTTTATTTTTCCACTCACCTCCCAAAGACCCCGTTCTAATGCATTTACGACCAAAGAAGCAGTTCCATATTCTAATGTCTCCGCTACATATGAGGAGCTGGTAAGCCTGGGATTTATCAGGTCAGGGTGATTACAAATCCTTTGCAGCTGCATCAGAACGTAAAGGACACTGACAAAATGTCCACTTTTAAGAGCTTCCTGGGTTCTATCAAATTAAAAAATAAATAAATAAATAAATTTCTCGGTGTAAACATAGTTTTTATAAAGCCTGAAAGAAACATCATAGGACCAGAATCTGAAGTGTAATGTGTTACATAGCAATCTTAATACATGTTTAGGTTTTAAATGGAAAGATGTTTCAGGAGTATATATTGTAACACAATATTTTTTCAAAAAACATGTGAATTTGAATTTGCAATTATCATGAAACTGAGGAACATGGACACTGCCTAAAGTCAGAAACAGTTTAAGCAAAGAAGTTTCCCCACTTCCTAATTTTTGTCAATCTACTGCACCTTTACCCATATCACTACTCGTATTGTTTCACTACTGGACAACTGTTGAGCAGAAACTGACTCTTGTTGAACTCTGGTGGTTTTGTGGTTTGGAGACGCATCCATAGGGAATAAGAATTATCCAAAATTTATCATCAGAACTTCATTTTAGCCTTCCAGAGTTGCATTTTTCAAAATCCATCATGTCATTTGTCTCTAATGTGATTCTCAAACTGGGTTGGGATCCCAGAATGGCTCAAGAGCTCATTGTAACAGAATCACTGGGGTTGGCTTGTATTGCAGGTGTCCAAAACTGAAGACAAAGCCCAAATGTTTCAGCCCTGGGTGGCAAGGCTCAAGTTACAGACCCCTCCTGGGAGCCTCCTTCCCCTCGCCAAGTTATAGGGCTTGAGTTTTGGTCCTCCCTCCTAGGATCAGGTTGTAATTTTTGTAGGGGTTTCAGAGTAGTTATGTTATATTCTTTGGTCATGAAAAAATCTTAAAAGCAACCACCAGGACAATCTCCTTAGCCAAAAAGTAGAATCATAACTTTTTTTTATTTTTTTTATTTTTCTATTTGAATTCTTTACCCTGGCTGCAATATGACATCTTCGTACATAGCCTTTTGCCGACTAGATAGACGACACTTTAGCACGTGTTCATATTTCTTTGTTAGTTGCTTTTCAACATCTCTTTTTGATCTTCGCAAAATAAATGGTTGAATCATCTGAAAAATGTCATAATAAATTAGTTTTCCTTCACTACTTTGACAAGTTGAAGTTCAGATTATCCAAATATAATACACACACAAAACAGCAGCTATGCAACCATATGTATATAAAGCAATTACACTGCTACAAAAATGACTTAAAATTGACATTTGTTCTTTTAATCTCTGCTGTAAGGTGCTCCAAAATCTAAGCATTTGGTTTTGTTTTGGCTTTTTTAAAGACACTTTTAGCTCTTATTCTGACAATACACCAAACACAAACCAAAACTTAGCCTATAAGCTGTAAAAATGAAAGTAAATCAACCCCCTCCTTGCAGTCTGAAACCACAACACTGAGAGAACTGTGAACTGCTTGTATACATAGCAAAGAGATGCTAAGGATTGTCAATTATTTCAGTTAATCATAGCTCATGTGTCTGATAAAATAACAAATTCTTGAATGCAACAGCACACATTTGGGCTTAATATACTTAACAGTTGCACTGGTTTAACTAAATTAGTTTAGTTAAATAAGTGCAAAACCCACATAATTTAAACCTGTATATACTAATTTATCTTAAAGCAATTCTTTGCTGATTTAAAATAATTTATCCCTAGCATGTATAGATTAAATTTAGGAGACCCCACAAAAAGTTTGAGTTAAGGATGTTAGCATGCAATTGAATAGTTATGTAACCCACATCAAATTTTAGAAGTTACACAGCTATTCAATAGTCCCAGGGACAGTCACCAGCCTGTGCACTCTAGTCCTACTCCCAGGGAACCCCCAGCACCCTGTGCATTTTTAAGGTTTTACTAGTGACTGTACTGGATTCCCAGGAGAAAGTGACTTAGGAAGATCCTTACTGCATAAATCCTGAGCTCCATAATTTAGGCCCAGTGTTCAACATGGAACACAATGCTTTGACCAACATACAACAGAATGCTTATAAGACGTGTTCCTGTATCAGCTGATCCAAGCATTAAGAAAAGGCAGAGAATTCTGTATGAACCCACTATGCCTGAGTCAACCGTGTTCAGATATTGAAGTAATAGAGACAAGAAAATAACTGAATGACATACTCTGTGCAATCTTATAACAAGTTTATGGCAATAATCCTGATTCTCCTCATTGGCTGCCTTCACTGGGAAATCCAAATAAGGTCTGGAAATTCCTGGAATTAGAAAATGTACCATAGTCCACAACTCCATCAATGTGTTATGCAAAGGAGTGTCTATCAGTAGCAGACGACGCTGGCTGTGAACAATATAAAAAAAGAAACTTAATAATGAGGTTTACTAATGAGTAATAATTAAGCAATTTTTAATAAAATAAAGAAATTCTCATGTGAACAGTAAGGGTATATAACAAATACTTAAAAATACAATAAAAAAAGAGAACAGTAACCCCACCTGCAATAAACCAAATTAACCCAAATATAAACCCCCTCATTTGTCCTAAACATTGCTTTCCATAATATTTTCATCTTCATTAAATAAGTCTGCCTGAAAGGCTCAGCTGTAATAGTTAAGAAGTAATGCTAGCTATTAAAATCTAAAATTAAGACAAGGTGTTATACTAAAATTTAGGACAGTTACCCTTTATAGTTAAACATTAAACTATAAAGTTTCCTATAAAGCTTGAGTATTTTAATATAGAAGTTTTTAAAAAATGTTTTATTAACTTAAGCCTTCTGACATTCATTGGCATTTTTATGCAAAAAAAAGTGAAGCATCCAAAACAAAGCAAACTAGTTTCTCATTTTGACAGTATAAAAAAAATGCATAGTAAATATTTTGCTTGAATAAATCAAGGTCCAGAACAGAACAGCAGAAAAACTGATCTAAAAGCAACATCAAGGAAAAACTCTGACATCTTTCATACCTTCGGAGACTGAAGAGTGCCTCCCAGTGTTTCTCGGACATGTTTTTAATTTGCTGCATTTCATCTAGAACTAGATACTTCCATCGCATTTTCATGAATGCATGGCTGCTTTTAAACAGCTGCTTGTATGAAGTGATACATGCATTAAAGCTGTTGGGTTCTGTCCATTCCTACAAAAACACAAATAAACAATGATCCATACAAACTCCCTCCCATTGCTAATGCTAGGGGGACAAAAGTAATGGCTGTATTCCAGTGATTAAGACTGTATGCCATCCACTTTACAGCTATTAAAAAATGTGGATAATCCTAGTCTTTAAACTACAATTGAGGTCCAGACAGTAAGGTGCTGCATTTATTGCTTAATACTGAGTTCACCCCATTGCTTCACTTGGATTTTCAATGTGATTTATGGATTAGAAGCTCTTGGGAAATGCAAAAAGTCCACATTCTATTACTAATTTCTTGCTATATCTCAACAAGAACTAGCTGCATAAATATGTGTACCTAAATAGTGATCTAGTCTCATCACTATAAATAAACTCTTCAAAATATACCTCTCTCTTTGCTCTAAGTTCTCTTTGGCTGCCAAAGTACAAAAGAATTTTCAATCCAGGGCACCAACGTTTCAATTCAAGCTCCCATTTTAGTATGTTACAACTCCGTACAACAACAAGATGAGGTCCCCAATTACCTGCAGGAGGAAACATATAGCAGATGAAAATACAGATATGGGATAAACAATAAAAGCTCATTTTCTCCCTTCTACTCTTAAAGTTAAGAACCACATGTACTGAATTCATTGTTAAAAATATGTGAGAGCCAAGACAAATATCAATACACTATTATTATAAGAACTGTTAACCAGTGTGAGAGAATACAAAGCTGTAATTGAAGTCTGAAGTTCTGCAAATGCAGTTGTTTATCAACGGCTGAGTCACAGAAGTGAACAGAGTCGTTTGTTCATTGTGCTATTTAGTTTCTTTTAATACTGTTAAATGGGAGATTTTTTAAAAACTTGGCATCCAAAATCCATGTCAGGGATAGAAAACTGAGCAGGGGGCTGTCAAGTAATAAAGCAGGATGTCCAATTACAAAGATGTGATTGTCATCTAGCTATATAAATGATTATTTAGCAAAAATCATCCTTTGTCCATGTATTAACCAAGTCTGATTTGAACCCACAAAAATCAAAGAGATTATAATGGAAGAATTAATCTCTATTTCGCTCTCATTTTTTCCAGAGTACATTTGTCAGCTTCTGGTGTTGCCAGTCTCTGGCTCCTATCCCTCCCTCATCCCACCTAGCAATCGCAACAAATCTAATCATGGGTGAATCTGCATATGCTTCAGTATATTTGAATAGTGCTTTTTGCTGCAAGAACACTAGGTGAGATGTATATACAATTGATGAACCCAACTTTTTTTTTTTTTTTTTTTTCTCAAATGGGACATGTCAGTAATTCTTAAAACAAAAATCTCAGCTAAGCTAAAAATCCAAGATTGGAGCAACATTAAAAATTATTTGTGTAGATCTGAGAAGTGCAGTTAACATATGTCGGAGGCAGTTTTTGGGAAGTTAATATCCTTTTTCATTTAGAAACAGGTCTCGAAAAAATATACAATCTACTCGCCCGTGGTGAGTAGATTGTAACCCGGAAGAGCCAGATTCGGGCGATTTGCACATGCACAGAACGATCTGCACATGCGTAGATCGCCGGACAGCACGGCTGGCGAGCGAAGCCCTGTTCATAAGTAATTGTATAGATAACATTTTTCTGAACTTTTAATCAGATATCAAAGGAGCTTTATAAATACTTAATCTTAAACAGCTTCTGGATATAAAAACTACCGCTCCAAACCATGGTGAAAACATGGAGATTTTAGAGGAAGCCAGTAAAGTACAACATGATGCGGCTTACCATTAAATAATGATAACTATTTTGAATACCATGAGCATTTTTTAACCAAAAGGAGACAGTTTAAGAGTACTTGAACACAGCATTTATAATAGCTACTCAAGTTACAGTAGCTATTCAAGAAGTGGTTAGAACTACCAGCTTTTTGCCACTATTCTTAAAAGGAATCACCACAATCGTTGGCAAAATTTCAAAAGATTTGCAGGACAGCTGTAAATAGGCAAAAGAGTGATTTATAATGTCAATGAGTAGTCCTGTGGTACCTGAGAGACCAATAAATTCCCCTCCCTATCTCTATTGCTATATCGTATCTTGAGCTTTCGTCAGTAACACCCACTTCATCAGATGAGTTTAAGTGTTTCTGATGGAGTGGGTCTTATACCCACAAAAGTTCATGTTACTATTAGGGATGTAACAGTGTAGTTGATTAAGCGATAAGCAAAAGCTTACAGGTTAATGCTATAGATTACATGCCTTTCCTTCCCGCTCCCAAGTAAATTTTATAGCAGGCTGGCCAGCAGCCTGGCTCAGTCTCTGGTTCACACTAAGTCAGGGACCTATCCTCACTGCTACTCTAAAGTGTAGTAGGTGCTGGGTGGACAGGCAGACCAGCTCATTTCTGGCTTGTGCCGGGTCCAGGAGTTCAAAGCCCCCTAGACAGGGGCTGCTGCCACCCCATACTACTGCCTCTATCAGAAGTAGCAGCACAGCATGACAAGCAGAAGGTCTGCGAGGAGAGCTGGTTTTTAAACTGGCTCCCCTTGCAGACCAGCTCCTGCCTAGCATTCCACGCTGCTGCCTCTGAAACAGAGGCAGCAGTGCAGAATGGCAGGGGGCTCCTCAAGAGTGAAACCAGAGAAGACTGGCTGCCAGCCCAGCCCCCTGGGGACTATAGAATAGTCAAGTAACCAATAAGAATTCATGAGGTTACTCAACTATCCAATTAACCAATATTTAACATACCTAGTTACTATATATTTTAGGGCTGTTAATTGACATGTGTTAATGGCTACCATTAACGCAGTCGAGGATAAATACATGAAATTTGTTAAAATGTTAATCGCAGGT